TTAGGTGCTTTCCTCTAAGTCTTCCTACCAATATGGCCAAATTGGGAAAACAACGTCAAAATACTTCTATACAACGAAATGAGACTGCGACCATACGAAAGGCACACTATCTTGGTCTTCTTATCTTCGATTAAACAATTTAATCCTCTCTTTATCATATGTTTCCTCTAATTTTTACAGAGAAGCTTGAAATAATATATCAATGACCTTGCCAGACTGATATTTTATCATCAACTTGCAAAAAATAGCAGGGATGCCCTCATGTCTACAATAGTTACTAAAGATAAAGTCAAAAGATTGAATTATTTGATCTGATGTAATCAGTTCACTGTGCGGAAATCTTATCATTGTAGTCAGATAGTAGATGTGGAGATCAAGATGGCGTGGTATTTTGTTTCTTCGCAGCCTTTTTTACCTGTATAGTGTTCGTTCAACCTCGTTTTCGCAACTTGGTTGGATACCTTCTGGGTCGTATCTATATTCTACTTCCTTTGCCATAGTAATTATGATGATTTCCACCATCATCATTCCACCTGTCACCATTTTGTAAACAACATTTCTATTTGGTTACGATTTTTATGTGTTTATTTTAATTCCTATATGTTCTCCTCACATAATAGTGACAAGGAACTGGATCTTCAATACATAACTGCTTCTCTGGAAATGCTGGTAATCGATTATGCTGAACTCCTTTTCATGCAGAATTGGTCTCTGGTTGCTTCCTTGATATCTCGACTCAATCAGCGTATGACGCGAGCAGTGATCAATAACCCGGCACGAGTCAGACTTTCTCATCTAGCTGGTCTTGGGGCTAGATACCGACAGACCATTCTATTTAGCGCTGCATTTCACTATCTTATAGCTGCATCGATCGGTGAATGCTCTAGTAGGTTTTGTTCCAAATCTCCATTCTTTTGTCAACTTAATCTTTCATTCTTAAATTTTGCCGTTACTTAATAGTAGTATATTTTTTTAAGTTAAATCTGTGTCTGTACTATCTTACTCTTTATTTTCAGTTTTTGGAGACCGAATTCTTTACATTTCTTAGCTTAGAGCTATATATAATATATACAACTTTAATTCATATTTATTTTTGTTATTTATATCAATTATTTTATGTGATTTAATCTTCTATGTTCTTATACTTATTTCCCAAAATATTTTTGTTCATTTTGATTCCAGACTTTCAAGGCCTCGTACTTGTCTTACCAAGTCCATATCACCCTTCGGTCGGCAGGCTATCTCATAGAGACAAAGATGGCGGTCAGATTCTCGCCAAACGCCGCAAGTCGAATCGCAGAGTTTACTACTCTTCGGTACCTATCGCCACTGAAAGTTCTGCCTCTATGGGTTCTCAACTTCGGCCAGAAGCTCTCTATCCTGGCTATCTACCACCTTTCTTTCGAGTGCCTGGTGCCTACCTAACTTCTGTAACTTCCGCTGGCTTTGACAAAGCTAATAGAAATCTGCATGATTCCATATCAAGCTTCTCTTCCAGGTCCTCTGATCTAGGTGCCATAAAGTTAACGGCCGATGATGTTCGCCTCAGTCTAATCCCTTTTACAGTGGCTAGTACCTTTCCTAGCAGTCATCTGAAAAGCACCGCCATTAATGCCGGTCTTCTGGCCTCTTTACCTGTTTCTGCGAGCAGTGGATCCCTTTGTTGGGCCGAACTGACTAAACCCGCTTCAGGCTCAGATGAGGATGGCGCACTGCTTATCTCTTCTACTGAGCTACCAAGAGCTGAGTACAGTGAACTAGGTTAGTGTATCTTTATACTACTTCGCCATTTATTAAATACCCATATTTACAATTTATTTATTGCCTAATCGCTATAATATTTAGTCACTATCCCTTCCCATGACGTGACCTATTTATCTTTTTTTATTATTCTAGTTGAACTATACTAGTGAAATTCTTTCGCTTTATTTAATACATATAATAGGGAGGGGATTGAGTACTTGAGCATGCGTATCGCTATCGCCAAGCCCCGGCTAACAAGATAAGTCTTAACTGTAGGCGTAAGCCTATCGAATGGCAAAATTATTATTCGCATTAGTTAATTCTAGGCAGCATTATTTGCCCACGTTACTACTCCATTAATATATCGTTTTTCCGGAAATTATATACCCAGGTTTAATAAATTTCTGAAACTGACTGATTGAATATAAGTGAGTTGACCTCGTTTTCGCGACTTTGTTCTGTTGTCAGGGCGACTTAGTTGAAAACACCTTGTCCGATATTCTCTGCCATAGCATTTATCATAATTCCCAGTTATCTCAAAGCCTCCAAGGTAATAATATTTTCTTATTTTATACTTCAAGTACTTTCGCTTACTTCTAGTTACATTTTCTTTTGTTTTGCATAAATTTCATGACGCAGAATGGATAGTTATTGCATACGAAGCTCTATAATTTTAATTGATGGATGTTCAGAAGAATATGCAAATGCGCATCATGGTGAAATCTATCCAGCCTCCTTTTTGGAATTTCACTTGGCAGAACTGTCTTAAAAAAATCAAAATTAATATTCTTTATCGCTTAAATTCCAATTTATGTTTGATACGTTTTTATCCCTTAGCCCAAGCCTCCTTCGTTTAAATAATAAAAAAATCTGCTTGCATATTTTAAAATACTATTTTTATGGTATATTTATATTACTCAAGCTCTTGAATTGCTCCCTATAAAAGTTATATTGGCAGACAGTAGACAGGATTCATGTTCGGCTCATTACATCTATATCACCTTTACAGTTTGTGGTCTTTTATTGTTTTATTGAGCGAATTGATTTACATTTTACCGTGCCCTGATAAGCTGCTATCACTTATATTACTAAGTCATATTGACTCTCCTATTGATTTCTCTTAGTGTTTTCATTTAGAACTTGGCTTTGTCTATTTGAAGTATATGTCATTTAGCTCTTCGATATGAGGATCAAGAAAATGTTTGACCACAGTTTTTTTCTTTACAATTAAGTTGATTTTACCTCGTTTTCGCAACTTAATCGAGCATCATATGCCATTTTTGCTCTGTCTTTTACCCACATCGGGCTATTTCTGGATACATTCTTAGACGTTTCGCTTGCATTGTCAATGATTATGGCTGCGCTTCAACTCTTTTGAGAAACAAATGAACCTAAAATTCTCAACCAATCTTATGTTTAATGGTTCATCTTCCCTCCTAACTCTGTTTATTTCCCAGCTCAGTGATGTATCCTCATCCCTCTCACTTCATATGATTAAATATTTTCTCTAACCTAATTATTATCCTCGCTTTTCCATCTAAATTCGAGGTGTGCATCCCCTTGAATGAGTTTACGTTATGCCAATTTCATGCTTGTATGAAGAAAAGTTGGATTTCGAAGAATCCAATTGGTTAACCCACTTCACTTGACTCGATAATCCTTGCCATATCTAATTGGCTAGTCGCATTCATTTGATCTCATCTATCGTTACTTTCATACTAGAGTACCTACCTACATACTCGCCTCCAAATTGATTATACCACATCCTACAACTTATTTATTTAGACTTGAGCGAAAAAATGTGAAGAGCGAGCTCATGGACGGACCAGGTATGTGTTCACAGATTGGATTATTCAATGCGATAGATCGCGCATATTGCCAGGTTTGTTAATAATGTTACCAAATGGTTTGCTCACTTTCAGGATATTGTCTACCTTCCCAGATTTCTAGCAACCAGTGAGAGCTTCCTTTTGTGCATTGGCTCTACGCCGAAGCTTGCCAACATTTATTTAAATATTTTTCAACAATCCTGTAGCTGTGCGTTCCATTATTTCTGTATATGCTTTTCTATCCATCATTACTGTCGCCCTCTATAAAAATATGTAATCCCTCCAGTATAAAGTTCTGCACATTCTCATTGTTCTGTTTCTTGCATTGATTCCTTAATTTATAAGATTTTCGGATTTATTTACACTTATATTTTCAGTCTTATTTCTCTTTTCAGTTGTATTTATTACTTCTACTAAAATTAATTTCATTTTATATTATTATAGAGGTAGAATCAGGAATCAAACGGTAACGAGGACAAAGTCACACCATTGTCCTTATCATT